CCGCGCTCTGGAAGAATATGCGGTGAAATGTCTTGGTCTTATCCGTCCTGCCCCGGGTCCGCCCCCCCCCACCCCCTCTCAGCGCAGGCAGGCTATCGGCGCGTCCCTGCTCGCAACGTGTTCGGTAGGCCGTCCTGCAGGCTTGCCAGCCTTGACCTACCTTGTCTTGTCTCCCCAATGTCATCGTGTGTCGCAGTTTGTCGGCGCCTCGTCAGCCTGGTGTGTCTGCACGCCCTCCTCACCACTCTGCCCCTTTCTGTTGCAGGCGCCCCCCTCGGCGGAGATGACGTGGGTGATCGCGGACTTCACGGCGGCGTCCTCCTCGGAGCTGACGGTGCACAAGGGCCAGCAGGTGGAGGTCCTGGACGCGCCGTCGGCCGAGCGCAGCGACTGGTGCCTGGTCCGCATGGCGGCGGGCTCGGCCGGCGCGCCCGATCCCGCCCAGGAAGGGCTCGTGCCGCTCTCGGTGCTCAAGCAGCCGCCGCAGGGCCTGAGGGCGTCGGCGGCGGCCTCGACCTCGCCGTCGCGCCGCCTCACCACCCTCCCGCAGGACGACTCAGGTAAGCGTCGACGACGAGCGCCCGGGAGGTAGGCAGCTGTGCGCGGCGTGACGCACGGGCGCACGACGGTGGCCTACCCGCACGGCGCCCCGCCGCGCGGCTCAGCGCGATGTCGTGGTGTTCGAACAGAGAGTAACTGAACTACATCAGACTACACCTCTAGTCCGGCCTAAGCTATTGCTATGCATCCTGCGTGGCGCTAATATTTAAAACATGGCGCTTCCTTCAGATCTCCCATCTTGCCGTAGCAGCGCTCCCCCACCCTGTTCCTGTTTGTCTTTGCGTGTCCGGCGCGGATGTCCGCTTTTCGCCCGTCCCCCGGCGAGGTACTTCCCCGCCCTGGCCGACCCCGCTGACGGCCGCTTTCAGGCCCGCGCTCTGATAACGTCTATTCGTGTCCGGTGGGGCCGAGGCCGGGCCCGGGCCGAGCTGGCCAGGGCCCACGGCCTCGGCTCAGGGGAGGCCTCCCCCGCCGCCCGGATATCTGTCTAGGGCTGCGGTCGGAGATTAGAGATAAATTTAACCCGGCCACCACCGAACAACGGGCTTCGGCTCGGCTCGGCTCGGAGCGTCTTGGTCCACGGGGGCTGGGGCGGGGGCGGGAGCTGGGGCTGCGACCGCCCGATCAATGTGTCGGGGCGTGCGCTGCTGTGAGCCTCAGACTCTCCCTTCCCCCCTCCCCGTTCACCCGCTCTCCCCACTCCGCTCTCTCTCTCTCTCTCCCTTTCTCTCTTTCTCTTTCGCACTCGCCATCTCCGAATCCCGGATATCTCTACTCTCCTTTGGAGCCCAACCCGCCCGAGCCCCGGCGGCCCCCTGCGAGCACCTCCCTCCCCCTCCCCTGTCATCTCCTACCTTTCTCTCTCCTCCAACCTGCCTCGTCGCCCTCTCCTAAGCCCCTCTTCTCATTTGTTTCGTCTCTTGAATGCCGCCCCGGCTATCGCGGCCGCTCCCTCCCCCCTCGGGCTCGGGGGGTAGCTGGTGGCTCCAGGGTGGACGGCCAGGCCTGGCCCGCGGCCCTAGGGACTGACGCTGGGTCCCCCCCCCCGCCTGTAGCGCTCCGCGTGCTGATCTCCCTGGGAGAGACGCCAGGGCGGCCGCGACCGTTGTTTTTCGGAGAGCGGTTTTCGCACGACCGACTAAAGGTTGCAGGGAGGCCAGTGAACAGGGTGCGCTCCTGCCAGTCAGTCACCCTGTTGTGT